CTTATCTTCCAGCAAGTTTAGTGTTTCTGTTTTAATATTTAGATCTTTAATCCTCTTTGATCTTAGTTTAGTGCATGGTGATAGATATGGGTCTAGTTTTAATCTATTCAGCCCAGTTTATTTTAAGACAGGGTCTCACTAAATTGTCCAGGCTGGCCCTGAGTTTGTGATCATCCTGCCTTAGCCTCCTCAGCAGTTGGGATTACAGGTGTACACTACCATGCCCAGCAGCATATGTTTTTAAGATTCATACTTGTTTTAGCCTATTTTATTTCTTTTTTGTTTTTGAAACAAGGTTCTCGCTGTGTAGTCTAGGCTAGGTTTGAGCTGGCTTTGTAGCCCAGGCTGCCCTCAAGCTCATAATCCCTCCTACATCTGCCTCTCAAGTGCTGGGATTACAGGTGTGTGCCACCACGCCCTGCTAGTATTTCATTTCTTTGCCCAATAATATCCCATTGTATACACTAAATTTGGTTTACCCTTGGTTCACTTGTTGGACATTGTGCTGTTTCCACTTTCTGGCTATTATAAATAATACTTTAAACGTTCAACTATCTTTCCTTGAAAACTGTGCTGATGCCCTCAAGACACAGTAGTTTCCATTCTTATATGTATTTTGCTTTCAGTCTTTTATACTTTAGTCAGTTTCCCTTTTACCATACTATATTAAAAATAGTTAACCCATCTACATATCTCATGGACTAGTTTTCTCTCTCTCTTCCCTAAACTGTTCGGTAAAATTAGAAGTGAGATCTTGAGTTTTAGTTGTCTGTGTATTCCCTGTTCCTTCTGTATTGCCTTACACATGGGAGATGCCCAGTATTTGTTGACCATAGGAAATAGTACACTTCATTCTAATACATTTCCGTGATATATAGTTCTAAAAGAGCTAGAAGGGGTATGGCTAGAATTTCTATAGCTTTAGTCATACTGATCCTTTTTATGTGTGTGGGTTTTATTTTTTATTTTTTTATTCTTTTATTTGTAAAGTTCCTTCTTTATTTTTTTTTAATTAAATTCTTTTATTGGTACATTGTAGGCATACAACACAATTACATTTCTCATTGGGAATTGTACCTTTATATAATGCATCTTGGTTCTTACTTTTTCCCCATTAGTTGCTTCTTTCTTTAAAAAAGAAAATCCTGGGGCTGGGGATTTAGCTCAGTGGCTCTGCACCTGCCTGGCATTCAGAAGGTCCTGAGTTCAATCCCTGGCACTGCAAAGAAAAAAAAAAAAAAAAAGGAAAATCCATAGCTGGACAAGGTGGTGCATTCCTATAATCCGAGCAGTCTGGAAGGCTGAGGAAAGAGGATCACAAATTCAAGGCTAGTGTGGGCAACCTACAATGTATCGACTTATCAAGACCCTGTCTCAAAATAAAAAATAACAAAAGGGCTGGGTATGTAGCTCAGTGAAAAGGCCCTGGGTTCAATCCCCAGTACAAAAAATAAATAAAATTCACTCAAGGATTGAACTCAGGACCTTGTGCTTACAAGGCAGGCAGCTGAACCACTGAGCTAAATCCCCGGCCCAAAATACATTGAATTTTTAAATTTAAAGAAATTCATTACAGAAAAATACACATTAACATTAATCTTCCTCAAAACACTCCCCCTTGCTTCAAACACACTTATCCATTGTTCTTTTTTTTTTGGTACTGGGGATTGAACTTGGAACCTTGCGCTTGTGAGTCAGGTGCCAGCACCACTGAGCTAAATCCCTGGCCCTCTTATCCATGGTTCTTGTCACTTCATGAAGCAGTTGGTGTCTTTAATTGTGCTGTCATGGCTGCCTTAATGTCCAGAATTGATTCAAAATGTTAACCATTCATGGTCCTTTTGTATTTGGCGAAGAGCCAGAATTCACATGGTGCTAGACGCAGTGAATAAGGTGGATCTGGGTACACTGAAATGGTTTTATGAACCTGTCTATTAGCAGCAGCATTCACCATATTTTTGATCACACCTTTGAAAGGCATGAAAGAGGACTTCCAGAATGCCTCAGAAATTGGTAAGAACAAGGGGATATGCATGTTTGAACCCAGGGGAATATTTTGAGGAGGATCAATGGCAATGTCTTTTATGGTATTAAAATTTTCTAAATCTAAACATTGACTGGATGGTTTAATCACTCCATTTATATTTGAACTGTGTGAGAAGTTTTAGGCATCCACTGGGGTTATTGGAAAGTGTTACCCACAGATAATGGGGGCTACAGTATTTAAATTTTTGTTTTCTTTTTTGTTTGTTTTTGTTTTCTTATTTTGTTTTAGGACTCTGTAATAATAATAGATTCAAGTCCTACTTCTTTAAAAAATCCAGAGAAGAATCAGAAGAAACTCCAGTGCTTGAATGATGTGCTAGGAAAAAAACTTAAGGAGTCTCCTAAAAAAACACCTGGTAATCAGAATTAATACCACATTTGTTGAAAAGTAGAATATTTGGGGGATTATTCTGATAGTGCTTATATTACAAATTTAATCTCTCTTTTAATATGATGGGAAATTTTAAATACATTATTTTAATAAGTAATATTCTGATGTAGTGGGGTTTTTCAAAAGAAAATTGAGCATTTGTTTAATGGGAGCATATTTAAGATTTATTTCTTTTCTTTTTTGGTTTTTTTTTGGTACCGGGGATCGATTCATTTTTTAATATATCATTTAGGCTTAAGTTAGTGGTTCCCAAAACTGATTGATCAACAGAATTATCTGGGTCAATTAAAACTTTTTTTTTTTGGTACCGGGGATCAAACTCAGGACCTTGTGCTTGTGAGGCAGGCGCTGGAACCACTGAGCTAAATCCCCGGCCCAATTAAAACTTTTAAAAAATGGGTAGGTCTTGGGCCAGGGATTTAGCTCAGTGGTGCTGTTCCCTGCTTTGCATGTGCAAGTTCCCCAGTCAGATCCCTCGTACCAAAAAAAAAAGTTTAGGTCTTTGCCAAAAATATTGAATAAGAATCTCCATCAGTGTATTGTCTGTTGTTAAAAATAAAAGTTCTCCAGGAGATTTTGATACTGCCAGATTGAGGGAACAGATCATTATATAGACTTTTTTTTTTTTTGGTACTGGGGATCGAACTTAGATCTTTGTGCTTGCGCAACGGGCAGTGAAACCACTGAGCTAAAG